ATGTCGGTGACCTAACTTACGCTTCCTCAAAGCGCAAAGCTACGGCAGCCCCGCTGCAGTCAAGATCTTCGCAGGTGTTTTGACATTGGGAGTACAGAACATCTATCTTTTGTTTTCTCTACCTTCTCAGTTCAAAGGTTCCAATGTTAGCCGCTCATGATCGTTAAGCAAACCCCTTCACAAGACACAACCCATGGTCAGGGATACTCATGCTTAAAGACGGCGGCTTTCATTTAGAGAGTTAGATCTCATAACAAAATATGTGGGTCGTTAGCCTGTTCGATCCAAGAGTGGCGAATAATATCATGGGGCTCATCACCGTTTCTAAACCGTTACTGATGTGCGATAACATTATTGAAACCTAGTGCGGATACGATATTCGCGCGTCTCCGACGGGGGCACTCGTTAAGGGGGTAGAAATTTAAGTCTTAATACAGACTTTCACAGAGTTGGCTTTGATATAAGATCTAATCTGAGTATGTCCCGAATCGAATTCAGAAGTCATGGATCGGCAGGAAGTCGAAAGCGTCAGATGATACGCATTTATCACTTGCCGGGTCATAAGAGTAAATCTATTGCAACGCAAAAGCTCTTTTGGTCGTACGAAGAACCGCCTTAAAGGGGGCTATAAGTAGCTGCAAATTGCAGAGAGCTCTGATCAAAACTTGGCAGGCAGAAGTGGTCGAGAGCCACGGTCTATAGATACTTCCTAGGAATATGCGACCGTATAATGCGGTCTATAGAGTTCATTTCTGATGGCTTTTAGAGGCGCAAATCATTTTTTTAAAAAGGCCATGCCGAAGCGACTGAAGACTATGGTCTCCAAATGATCCCGATGAAGATATGTGACTTTTAGATGCGAGTAGAAGGACAGGCCCTGATGCTGCCAAAAATGCGCTATTAACGACATGGTATAACGGTACAGCTGAGTCGGCAATGCCGGGAAACGTGCGAATCATCAACGCCTCACAGGATTGCGACGCACAAGTTTACATACTGAACGCAGTGACGAAGAAATGTCAGTCTCCTTTTCCGCATCCTGTCCCACGTTGCCATTTCTATAGAGAAGGACTTTCACTGGGGTATGTGCGCCAGAATTTGCAAAACAAATTGAAGTCATGAAGTCACTGAGCAAATACTGTTAGTACCGAAGAATGAGTTGAGCTCTTCGTCCGTCATGTACAAGTCTATACTCAAGGAACACGAGAGCGCAGAGTGGAACGATACTTGCAGGGACATTCCGGGTCCCTTTCATCCTATTTACAAATTTGTGTTTTGACCAAGTGATGCATAGTACAACTGCTCATGAGCGACATATCAACAGAGAACGTACTAAAGTCTGATCGTTTAGGTGTGGGTGATCCGGGACCGGCTAATGCAGCAACGCCAATCAGACTTTGTTGACGCTAGTGTTGTGGTCGCTTCTTGCTTGTGCATACCTTTTAACATAGCAAATCAGAGGCTTATCGAGCAAGAAAATCGGATGAGAACAAACTTAATAAACATCTGTGGACATTGTTGAGGTGTATGCACACAAAAATTGTTTGTCGACCCAGACAAATATGTCTTTTGCGCCGACAAGATCTTCCTTGCGGAATGCTTCATTGGAAATGGTCTGTGGACAGGCTCCGCGAAGATCAAAAACCAAGATAGATTAACGAGTGTCGCTTTTTCAAAAGATTTATTGAAGTCATATGATAAGGCCAACTTCTTGCAGACATACAGGGCAAATTGCACCGACATTGCGCAACCCCTTACTGACCTCTTTAACATGGATGTTAAACGGTGTTGGGAGTGGAGAGGCGGTATTCTAGGCCGTGATAGTGAATTTCGAGTTTGTCTGAAGCTGGTGTATCGGATGAATCGAGCGAGGTGTTTACCGATAAGAATGGTCAAGGTGACGTTTTGGGCCCTGAACCAACGCAAGCGCCTTTACCGAAACATAACCAGTCTAGCCATACTCTGTACAATAGTCTCCGAAAGAATCAGGTATTCTCTACCATTTTTATCTCTGTACGAGTCGGGCACTCAGTAATTGTCACTGAGGTGGGTAGTGTCACGGACATCAGTCAAAACCTCTCGAATAATATTAGCTCATTACGAATGAGTCCAGTGAGTCGGACTTACCGATCCGGATCGCAACGACTTGCAATAAAGTTGCTTTCGACCAAACCTATCGTGAATGAATATAAGCAATTGTACGTCGCCTGCCGCTGCGCCGTGGAGCCCTTATACACCTATGTGTAACTTCTGTTTACATTGAAAGCTAAATTTGCCTTCAAAATTAACGTCGAGAGCGCTCTTCGATCCTGCAGATAACATTCCTTAAAATTTCTAGATCAGCAGCAGCTCAATTTGAGCCTTTATTGAAATCACGTTGCCCTTCTGGTTCTACGGCTTTCCAAGCAAGCTTCAGCGAAGCACGCCTCCCACTTAAGGCTCGATTAATGTTATAGCTTGCGAAATAACAAGCACAAAGATGCCCTCAAGGTTACGATTCACGCCTCAAATTTTCCTGTAAATAGCCTAATCATCACCATGAGCCTGCTGATACCGGTTCCGGCCAAATATAGGGCATAAAGTAGGCCTAATCCCTGCACGCATTGTGCTGCGCGACCCTATCTCTTCTCCCAGGTATATAAGACAAGAAAAGGCGTAAGATCCTGGAGTGCAGAATACTCATGTACTGAAGCAAGTTCTGAATCTAGCCCTGATAAAGTCACGGATTCACTATCCGCCTCACATGAGTGTGGGTCTCCCCATGCTCATCAAGCAGATTCCGCAGAGGACAACCCTACTTTCGAGAGCGTAATTGGTTTGGCATCATTTAAAGAGTCTTCCGTGCGGCCGATACCTTCTCAAGTTGTGATTTTGATATGTTCACTCAACTAACTTTCAAATCGATGCTTAGTACAGCTCATTCGCCTTCAACACAGCACTTCGGGTATGAATGGCTGATTAAGTCGGGCGGGATCAAGGTATAGCTTTACTAAGGCCACGTATAGCATAGGATGTATACGCGTTTTCTTTGGACAGTGCAGCGCAATCGCTGTCGATCGTGAAGAATCCAATAGAGCGGGGGGGTCTGGGTCTTGGAGACACCAGACACGATATGCATACAACGCTAGATTAAATTTGACTACTTGGTGCGTCAATTTCGAAAAGTGTCTACCTCCAGAATCGATGTGTTGCCTCTATCTTCTGTCTCTGTTAGTCGCGTGTCGGGTAGGAAACACGAGGATCCTCAACCTACAAAATTCTTATGGAGTGACAAAAGCCTGAATGAATAGTCGAGATTTACGACAGACTCCCTTGTTTTCTGTGCCCAGATAAGTGCTATCCTCTGTCCTCACGAGGTGCAGTATGATTCGATTCTTCTAGAAATCGTATGCGCCCTCGGTCAGCCTTCGAGCTCCGGTGGAGTGCAGGGAGTCTATTAGCGTGAATTAAAGTTGGTCTTCAATAGACGCCTTCCGTATGTCGGTGTTGTGGGCTTTGTGGGTCGTTTGATCATGATAACTATCTTGTTGCTGTTAGTGTAACACCATTACACAAAATTTATGATATCGATGATACCGATATCACTTTATTGTATGCATCTGGACGATTGAATGCCGGGCACCCATGTGAGCAACTTTAGTTGTCACAAAACCTTACTTCTCAATACGACAGGTGTGGCTGAAAAGTGCACAGCTTTTAAAGAACGTGGCTCTTTACGAGTTACCCACTGCGCACTGTTTTGTAATTTTAATTCCCCGACCAACGTCTCACCAAAAACGTGTCGAGGGCATTCTAAAAGCAGAATTTTGTTCTAGCTTGAAACTTAGAAATTACACAGATCTCGTTACCATAGTCTGCGCAAGCGTTTGAGTACAAAAAACGCTTCACAGCAAACTGCAAACAAGTGCTAACCTCCACTGCTGAAGCTGCCGGTCCAACCACAGCGAATACATCTGCCTTTGGTATGTATTCTAAGTGACATAGAATCTACTCATGAATTCGTGACTCGTAACGAGGATGCATTGTACTTTTCGAAGTAAAAGGGCCTAAGGTCCTACTCTGGTACCCAACTAAATGCAAGTTTGGGACAATGTATTTTGAGATCAGATTTCTACACTATGCAGCGCACAAGACAATCCTCACAGCTGTCTTTAGTTAATATAGTAGCGCACGGCGTTATGCAGCACCATTTAACGCTCGTAAAGGCAATTTACCAGAAAAAATTCAGCCGTATCTGCGCCCCTCTTGTTGTTTTCACAATTACTGCATAGGTTTACCTTTGTACAAACTTTTAGTGTAGTCAGGGAATCGAATAAACGGCGGGTACGCATTGTTGCCCTTGCCGTCCGTGTACACGTCCGTGAAAGCCGCACTCTCATGGGGCTTGCCTGCGGCCTTGGCATCCTTGGTTGCCTTGACAACTTCGGCACGCACCTTCTTCTCTATTTCCTTGATCTCGTCTGCTGTGGCGAGTTCAGCTTCGATCATACGCTTCTTTACCATCTCTATTGGGTCTCGTGAGGCGCGCATTTGCGAAATTTCATCGCGGTTACGATACGTCACACCAGGGTCCGACATGGAGTGGCCATGATAACGGTAAGTATTCATCTCGACAAAGATCGGTCCATTTCCCTCGCCACACCACTTCTTCATGAATTTTGTGCACTCTCGCACAGCAAGTACGTCATTACCGTCACACTTGATACCAGGAATCTTGTTACCCAGAGTGTAGTAATCCGTATTATTAGACGAACGCTTAGTAGAGGTGCCCATACCGTACTGGTTGTTTTCGATGCAGAAAATTACGGGAAGCTTCCATAAAGCAGCCATATTAGCAGCTTCAAAGACTTGGCCCTGATTTGCGGCACCGTCACCAAACATGGTGATAGCGCATGGCATCGGGCCATCGCCCTTGTGGTTGTACTTGCTAGCAAAAGCTAGACCCGCGCCAACGGGTACTTGAGCACCAACAATTCCTTGGCCACCATAAAAGTTAGCCTTTTTATTGTAAAAGTGCATGGAGCCCCCCTTGCCACCAGTGGCACCAGATGCCATGCCGAACAGCTCAGCTAGAATATCTTTAACTGTACCACCACGGGCGAGCATAATGCAATGGTTTCGGTACGAAGTAATCCACGAGTCATTGCGGTCAAGAGCAGCTTCCACACCTGTCGCAACGGCTTCCTGACCGTCATACAAGTGGCAGAAACCACGAATTGTTCTCGCCTTGTACTCATTGTCATTCGTGATCTCCATGCGACGCATCGTGTACATGAGATTATAATAATCCAGCATTTCTTCACGATTCGTCACAGCAAACTCGGGTGGACCCTGCTCCAGGCCTGCAAAGAATCATTTTCGGGCTTGAAATCGTTCTTAAAACAGTGTTTTATATAATCAATAGGGCGACGTACGGTGTAGCTCAAATGGCATTGAAAACTCAAATTTTGCTTCATTTGAGGAGTTGGTAGCGGCGCTGAACGCACGAGTAGCTTTAGTAGCGCTGCGAGTCAAAGCGATAGAGCGTCGGATCATCATCGTCTTAAAAGGTTTGACGTGGGAGGATTGGACAGTGTTCACGAAATCTTGACCGCAAGCTTGAGAATTTAATTAGGTGCGATTTCCAATCGTTGACTTGATAATCAGGTACCTAAATTTGTCTTTTATGCAATGTAAATCTCACGAAGGGGGGCAAAAATAAAAAAAAAATATGTATGATTGCACCTTCGTTTTTATCAGCAAATTTCATCCAGTACAAACAAAACATTATCAATCAAACCTGATGAAGCGCAAGGCTGACGCTGTCGAGGTCGCGAACTTGGGGCAGAAACGTCGTAAATGTCCGTACCTGGACACAATAAATCATCAACTGCTCGACTTTGACTTCGAAAAGGTTTGTAGTATCAGTTTGTCGGACCAAAACGTCTACGCATGCCTCGTATGCGGCAAATATTTTCAAGGCCGCGGCCACAACACGCACGCGTTCACGCATTCGGTGCAAAGCAGCCATCATGTGTTTATTAATTTGCAAACAGACCGCATTTACTGCCTGCCAGACAACTATGAAGTTGTGGATAACACCTTAAAGCCTGTACAAGATGCACTACGTCCAAGCTTTGAGGCCGCAGAAATTGCTCAGCTGGACCAGAATCGTATTTTAGCTCAAGACGCTTTTGGGGTATCATACTTGCCCGGTTTCATTGGCCTCAATAATTTGAAGCACACAGATTACATCAACGTAGTGGTACAGGCGTTGGCTCATGTACCACCACTGCGAGACTTTTTTCTGGTCAACAAAATGGGCAAAATCAAGTCCAAGCTTGTGCTTCGCTTTGGAGAGCTATTGCGCAAGATGTGGAGCCCACACAACTTTAAAAATACTGTACGCTTGTTAGTTATGTTTGACATCGTAATTGCTTATGCGGATTGTTGGTGACTTCATGCAGATCAGTCCACATGAGCTAGTGCAGGAGATTTCTGTGAGCAGCAAAAAACGATTTCATGTCGGAATACAAAATGAAAGTGTCGAACTCTTGGCGTGGCTGCTGAATGAGCTGCATAAGGTCCGCAATTGTAGCGTAATGATTGACTTAGAAACCTTTACCTACAGGAACTGTGGGTATTTTCGTAGGGTCTTGGTGGATCGCATAAGCCAGGAAGCAGCATCATACATAAGTGTTTTCAGGGTTTCATTGAGGTCACAACGAATGATGAAACGAAGGTTGCAACGACAGATCTAGCAGATCATGAATCGGCTGTCTCCACATCAATCTCACCATTTTTGTACGGCGCATAGGACAATCATCTTGCTTGATTTATGTGCCACTCACTGTCATATTTACTGTAAGGATGTTGGCGCTGGACTTACCGTCAATGCCACTGTTTAAAGATTCTCAGGGTGGAAACATCATACCTCAGGTCAGCGTAGTTTAATTGTCGTTCTTGCTATTTGGCAAGGTTAACTTATGATGCTGGTTAGATTCCGCTGTTCACAGTGCTCGAAAAGTATGATGGTTCCCACGTAACCCATATTCTGCAAGGTTCTCACCGCTTGAAAAAAACTTATCGAATTGACTCGTTACCCGCATATTTAATCTTTCACGTTAAGCGCTTCACACGAAACAACTTCTTCACTGAGAAGAATTCAACAATCGTAAACTTTCCTGTCAAGAATCTGGAGCTGCGAGATTTTTTAAAGCTGGACCAGAGTCTTCCATCCAAGGAATCACTTCGCACGAAAACAACTTCAGATCTGCGGGCTATTCTGCTTAAGCTCGATCAATCGACCAAGGTACGCCTTTCTTAAGTCTGTGCGTTTGAAGTTACTCAATCTTAAAAAAATACCTCGCTTGATTGCAATAGGATTGTGTTGAAAAGGCCGACTTGATTGAAAAAATCACGCGTGTCCGTCTACCCTGCACTAAGTACGTTTTCTGACATTCGTAGCGCTCTTATAAGACTAATGTTTTGCGTTAGGTATAACTTAGTTGCCAATATTTGCCATGACAGCCCAGTGACAACCGGTCAAAAGGCTGCTCTACAAACAAATCCTTTGACGGAGGGCAGCTATCGCGTTCATGTTCAAAATAGAGTACTCAGCTTCAATGTTTTCGCGAGCTTGGCAAATACACTAACGGATTCTGCTTAATTTACCTTGGTCTGTCATAGGCGACTGAACAGTGGTATGAAATTCAAGATCTGCACGTCCAGGAGACAATGCCACAGCTCATCGGCGTCTCAGAGTCGTACTTAATGATTTATGAGCGGAAGAAACAAATATAGCCCGAATCGTCACACTGCAGACACTCCAAATCGCTCGTTCCACGCAATTAGATCATCGATCGTTCTGGCAGATACGCTTGGACGGACACGCGTCAGTGCCACCCTAAAGTCGGATGCAATAATACCTCGCACATCTTCAGCCTTCACGTCTGCTACCTTTTCTCCAAGCTCACGAATTGGGCCTAATGCAGCGTCCTTGCAAACAGCCTTAAGATCGCTTCCTGAGTATCCTTCTGTTGCCTTCACGATGTACCTAAAGTCGTTTGACGATAACGAGGATTTTTGGCTACGAAGTAAATGTCGGATAAGTCCTTCACGAGATGAAGGACCTGGTAGGGGCACTGACAGGTATCACGTCGTCTCCGTTAGAATTCGGTAAAGCAGCAGTTTATATCGATTCTTGAATAAAATTACCATAGATGCGCTTTTCCAAACGCCGAATTATAGCCTCGTCGAGTTCCTGCGGAAGATTTGTTGCTCCCATGACAAGAATTCGATCGTCTTGTGATGAAGCAGCTCCATCCAGCTCAGTAAAGAACTGTTCAGCAGAAAAGCCTCAACTCATCATCATCACACAGAAAAGTTACATCTCGAACCTGGTTCTTGATTCTTCTACTAGCATCATTCTCAGATGCTGACCTTGTCGACAGTAAAGCATCCATCTCGTCCATGAATACAACAGATGGCTGCAATTCACGAGCCATGTCGAATAGTGCTCTGACCAATTTCTCACCTTCTCCAACCCATTTTGATGTTAAGGACGACGCAGAAATACTATATAAAATATCTGTCAACATTACACACTTACTATCCACAATAACTTGCACATACTTGAAAAAGGTTGCCTTGGCCTCTGTAGCAACAGCTTTGGCGAGCAATGTTTTTCCTTCAAACGTCAAATGAAAGGCAGCATTCACATACCACGTACTATCAATCAGACAAAATTAAGATTTGATACCTGTGCCGGGTGGTCCGAACAACAGCACCCCTCGAGGCGGCGCTCGTAAGCCTGTGAATAAATCCGGACGCATTGTAGGCAAAATGACGGCCTCCTACTCGAAGGTGAAAATCACTCAGTCATATTTCATTTGGCCAATAAGTATACGGCTATGCCTTCAAACCTGCAAAATCTGCTTCGCAACTTCCAGCCCGGCAATATCCATCCAATGTACGCCAGGCGAGTGGTCAAGGACATCGTCTAATATCGTATGAGCAAGCTGCGCATGCTGTTTCGAGTACCCTGCTTTCTGCAACAAACAAAACATGAAACCGTCAATTTTCAGCAAATTTCATCATTTTGGTCCTTTGACCTGTCGTTCACTCGCAACGCGAGCATTTTTAATGCTCGTGGTAGCTGCAGATGAAATCTTTCAACGCGATATATCAAAACTTTGATTATAACATAAAACTCGTGAGCATATGTTGACAGCCGACCTGAGTTTCTTTTCGCGCCTGCTTTGCAGTCCAGTCCTTCAAGTACTCAGCGCGCATCATATACTCGTTTATCTTACCGCGCATAATAGCCTTTGCATCATCGTCAGGTATCTCTAAGCTCACAGAGAACACAAATGTCTCGTAATGAGTAGGTCATGTCGCTTTATCCAGTTCTACGTACGCGCAAGATGCGCCATCATTTTCTCGATACCCAGCGCATACAAATCCACTGCTTCCGCGTATTTTCCAGCTTTGTCCACTGCTACGGCTTCCTCGATGGTCTTCTGGAACGCGTCCTCTGACCGCTGGGAACTCCAAATGCGCATAATTGACACCCGACGAAAAGTTAAATTTTGCAGTCATCTCGTAGAATTTTGAGATGCTTCAATGATAATTTTCTACCAATCAGCAATAAATATAGGCCAACAAGATCTTGGCAACGCCATAGTAATAGACTAATTTCTTGTAGGTATGAGGCGATTGTAGAAGCTCATTTCCATGATTTGTTCGAATTCTTACACGAAGTAGCTGACTAAAGACCTTGCAAACGAAAGCCAAAAACCGAATCTATTGATGACAAAGCACTCGGTATAAATGAGCTTCATAGAACTCAGTAAAGGGAGTTCCATACATAATGTAACGGTGTAAGTACCGTATAATGTTTTACCAAAAGGCTTAGAAGTATCAATGGACTGGTACTGATGGGGACAACGGGAATATTTCAAGGAGAGGTCAATGTGATACAGGCGCTAGTCTCATTCTGGCTGTACATGTTATTATATAATAATTGAAAATGGTCAACACAAAAATATTCGTAATTGGTTTAGATTAAGATAACATTTCAAATCAGAATGCGGGGTTGGGTGATAATCACTTGAGTAGATCTTGATTTAGAGCGTGAACCGTACAAACCACTCATGTGTGCGAGGTCCACGGCTTCATCCTTGCATTTATCGAAAGTTTTCGTCAGCCCGAAGACTGAAATTTCAATAGACTGCATTTTCTGTGTGATGGAGCAAATATTGCTTGATTTTATGCTCCCAGGACAAATAGTTACAACTGGTTAGCTCATATCCATCGTTGGTCTCGAAGGGATACCGCAATTAGCGGCCAGCCGGAACTGCATGCAATGTTTGATAATGCAAGTATGTGCCACGGATAAGCACCAAAAAGAAAAGTTAGTGAGGGATCACAAATATTGAATTGCTTGCTGTTGGCTAGCTATCAAACCAACGTCACATTTAAATCAGACAAGATCGCTGTCGCCCATCCGCATGGATTTAGCCTCAAGTTTTATCACCGTCTGAAAAATCTCACAACGTGAGGAATAGTGATGGCAATAGCATAGAATTAGTCCGGGCTACAGTAGCATTAGCCTAGCATTTAAAAATACATGGGCTATGCTAGGATAGCATTAGCATTTGAAAAGACCGGGCTAGGCTAGGCTAGGGCTAGGCTACATGCTAAGATAGCATGCTATTTACTTGAATTATTGTCAAATATATTCCTGATAATATTCCCCCAAATTGCGACCAGCGTAAACAAGTTGTACAACACCATACCACCAAGTAAGTTGTTCATGGTATAGCAAGGCGTGCAGATATAATAGTGGCTAAGCCGGTAG